GCTGTTAAGTGCTGTCGAGTCAATTCTGACCCATAGCAACCCTGTATAGGGTTTCCAAGGAGCAGCTGGTGAGTTTGAACCGCTAACTCTGCAGTTCAACTGGCTTTACAATCTGGTGTATTAACCCAAAGCACCACACCAGAACTCCAAGTCTTGGGTTACTAACCAAAAAAGGTCAGCAAGTTGAGCCCACTTAACTGCCCCACTTGAGAAAGATGAGGCACTCTTGTTAGGCAAAGATGAACAGCTTCTGAAATCCTATGGGGTAGTTCTATTCATAGCTATGAGTCAACATGTGTTTGGTTACATTTTTTCTTCAGTATCTGGACATTTCTCGAGATTCTTGGTATTTTGGTCTTCACTATGCAGAATTTGAGTTATAATCACATTTCCCCTGATCCATTTAGTCCTGCAGCTCATCTTTATTATACACTCATGGATTTGTTTTTTGAATCTCTATTCTTAGTGTGTGGATTTCTGGTGTGGCGCTGTGGGTTAATGCACTGGACTGCCAGGTTGACTTGAACTACAAGGTAGGCAGTTCAAGCACACCAGTAGCTCCTCGGACACCCTACACAGGGTCACTATGAGTTGGAACCAAAAGCATATAACACTCTGATTGGTGATGTTTGTTACCAATAAAGGAACGTGGGGAAGAGCAGCAATGAAGCTGCAAGCTGAGCCCTATAATGCTCAATAGACTCCTGTGAGCCCAAATGGAGACCTGGTTGACCAGTAGTGTGGCAAGTCCAGGGGACTCCTGGACCCAGAGTCAGCGACATAGCCACAGAAGACTACAAAGTGGAGAGTGAAGCGTCTCCCTGATAAGAGAGGGCACATGCATAAGTACACCCACACTTGCAGATAATACACACTTGACCTAGCTTCAACGACTGGATAATCAGAGCTCAACCAGAAGAAGAGGGAAAAAAGAATAATCTGATAAAATTTGATGAACTTGACATACACCTATGGAAGCAGTAGCTCAAAGGACAGAACAAATCTTCACAGCGAGGCTCATTCCCACCGCCTCCACTCACGGAGATGACAGGGATGGGCAACTTGGATATTGGCTACCCAGAATGGGGGAGGCTACAGAGGCAAGAAGTGACTGGCTTACAAGCTTTCAAGAGGGAATCTAGAGCTAGGGGGCATGGAGGAAGGCAGAATCACCAGAGAGTACTATCCAATCTGTCTAGGTGGAGCTGATGAAATGAAATACAGATGGGTTACTCGCGATACTGTAGTGAATAATGGTTATCAAGACGGATTGTGAGGGTTGGAAATGCAAAGGTGGACGTTTTGTAGCAAGGAAGGAAGTGACTATTTCTCCAGTCTAGGAGCGGAGGTCTCTGGGACCACCAACGGAGAAGAGCCGAGAGTGGGACCCTACCCAGAGAAGCAGGGATGCCTGAGATGGAGACAGAGATGAGGACATGGAGGGATGAAGTGGCTGGGGACTTTGGATCCAGAGAGGGAGAGGGACTATGGGCTGAAGACTGGGGGGGGGTATGGGCACCGGGTTTCTAGGATATTCCCTTTGGTCCGAAGGGGACTGGAACCATGGCAATGAAATGATATATGATGGAATGAATGTAAAACTAAAGTTCTCTCATGTAAACTATCATAATAAAACATTAAAAAAAAAAAAAAAGAGGGAATCTAGATCCAGAGGGTGTGGAGCAAGGTAGAATCTCCACTGAGTACTATCCATTCTGTCTAGTAGGGGCTGATGTAAGGAGATGTGGATAGGTAGGTCTCTTGCAATACAATAACGGATAATTGTTATCAAGACTGATTGTAGAAAGAAAAAAAAAAAAGACTGATTATAAGGGCTGGAAATGTAAAGGTAGGCGTTTTGTGGCAAAGGGAGGGCAGCGATTAACTTTGCAGTCTAGGAGCAAAGGTCCCTGGGACCATCAAGGGAGAAGAGCGGAGAACGGAACCCTTTCCAGAGAAGTAGTGATGCCAGGAATGGAGGCAGAGACAGGGACCATCAAGGGAGAAGAGCGGAGAACGGAACCCTTTCCAGAGAAGTAGTGATGCCAGGAATGGAGGCAGAGACAATGACGTGGGGAGATGGAGCAGCTGCCCGGAGAGGAAGAGAGGTTGTGTGTGGACAACCGGGGACAGGCTTGCGGGGTTGACCATTTGGTTGGTGGATGATGCATGGAGAGGACCGTAACAATGGCAAGGAGACGATATACGACGGAATCAATGTGAAGTTAATGTTCTCCCATGTAAACTATCACATAATTCACCATAAAGCATTAAAAAAAAAAAGCATATAACAACAACATTCCTAGTGTGTGTTGTAGGATAAGCACTGGACTGCTAACCATCAAGGTCAGCAGTTGAAACTCACCAGCTGTTGCTTGGAAACTTATAGAGGAGGGGTGGGAAACATCCAGACTGCAGGCCTTATGTTGTTATTGTAGGGTTTTTGAGGACCAGCTGGAAAGTTTGAACTGCTGACCTTTGGTTCAACCCAACCTTGTAGTCCCACAGCAACACATTAGGACTCCCGAAGGAAGGCAGTATATTGTTGTTAAGTGCCTCCCAGTCAGTTTTAACTCATGGCTGCCTCATAGGGTTTCCAAGGAGCAGGCTGATGAGCTTAAATCACCAACTTGTGGTTCAAACCAACCTTACAGCCTTGGAGTAGATTCCAACTCATAGAGATCCTGTATAGGGTTTCAAAAGAGCAGCTGGTGAGTTTGAACTGCCAACTTCATGGTTCAAACCGACCCTGTGGTAGAGCACTGATCCTACAGGGCCACAAATGGACTCCTAGCCATCACATTGTTGTTAAGTGCCAGACATTATTAGGGGTGAGTTAATTGTTTGACCAAATTATTAAGGTGATAATTTTGTATGGCCTGTGAATGATGTTATAAATATCAAAATGGCCCTTGGCAGAACAAAGGTTCCCCATCCTTGCTATAGGAGGAGTTCTGGTAACATAGTGGTTACAAATAGGGCTTCGAACCTCAAGAACAGTTCGAAACTACCAGCTGTTCCGCGGGAGAAAGATGAAGCTTTCCGCTCCCGTAAATATTACAGCCTCCGAAACCCTGTAGAGGGTTGCTATGAGTCGGAACCGACTCCATGGCACATAGCAACAACAACAACAACCCCTGCTATAGAGGAGTCAAAACTGACTCAAAGGCATTTAACAATTTCATAGAAGCAAAGATTTAATTGTAGTTGGTGCTTCTTCATTGAGTATAGTAAAATTTCTTCAGTTCATATTTGGTATACTTTAAAGTAACTTTTGACTCAGGAAACGTAATGGAATAAGAAACGGCTTTCAAAAAGTTTGTGGAAAAATGAAATTAAAAGATAATGGGGGGGGGGGAGAGAGACAATAGAATTCTTCCATGAAATGACATTAAAGCAAATGAAGCTAACAGTCAAATACCATAGTGTATTTCACTTGAAAACATGAACACTTGATGCTTAGTTGTCACTGAGTTCCTGATTTAAAGTAGAACTTGAAATCCTTAGACTGAGAACTGAACTCAACTGAACTTAGACTGAGAACTTAATTTGAAATTGAAGGGGAAAATAAAGTCTAAGTCTTTCATTAAAAAAACTCCACTATTAACACTCCTTATTAATGTGTTGGACTGCAAGGTCAGTGGTTCAAGCTCACCAGTTGCTCCTCGAAAAGCCTATACAGGGTCCCTATGGGTTGGAACCCACTCAAAGGCACTTAACAATATCCCACCTCAACTAGGGGGATACAGGGAGTTTTAACCAAATTGATCTCTAGTCTATTCACAGTCTGGATTCCTGTTGTGGTGCTGTGGGTTAATGCGCCAGACTGTAAAGCCCGTTTGAACTGCAAGGTGGTGGTTCAAGCTCACCAGCTGTTCCTAGGACAACCTATACAGGGTCGCTATGGAAACGGACTCAATGGCACTTAACAACTATTCACTCCAGCAAAGAGCAACAGTAACTATCTTTCCAAAACAAAAAGGTCTTCTCTGAGGGCAAAATAGCTTTTCTTTTTTTATATATGTATGGGGGGGAGGGGCACGTGTAATCTAGACTACATTATAAAACAGAAGTAGTCTAGAGTTCCACGTCAATTTTAGCATCAGGGCATTAAATATACAGGAGGGAAGGAAGAGCCTCAAAAAGGTCTTGGCAGAATTCCATGATCCTTCTTCCCCGAACTTTCAAATCCCCACCCCGCCAAATGCTGTTTAAGCTTTTTGTTTCTAAATGCTAACACACTTTCATTTTTCAATTGTCCCAAAGGCTGCTGTGCAAGAGTTCTGAACTCCTAGGGGACCTGCGGGGAATGCAAGAACCCGGAACGATGTGCAACCTAGACGTGCCTTTTCAGAGGGGAGGGGACGCCTTTTCAAACCTACTGCCAACCTGTCCGTCCCGACTTATAGCGACCCTACATAGGATTTCCCAAGGAGCTCTGGTAGCGTAGTGGTTACGAATTGGGCTGCGAGCCTCAAGGGTCTGCAGTTCTAAACTACCAGCTGTTTCGCGGGAGAAAGCCTCAGATTTCTGCTCCCGTAAAGATTTACAGCCCCGGAAAGCCTGTATAGGGTCGCCATGAGTTGGAAGCGACTCCACGGCACCTAACAACAACAACATATAGGATTTCCCAGACTGTAAAACTTTAGGGACAATCTCACCGTTTTCCCTATAGCGGCTAGTGGGTTTGAACCTCCAACCTTAGGGTTAGCAGCCCAACATAGCCCTACTTTCGTTATGATCTCCGAAAACAGTAAGTGACGAAACGGCAAAAAAGTGTGCAGTTGAAACTATGCCCCACCGTTAAATATATTTAACACTGGATGAGCGCATCCAGTAATCTATCCCCTTGGGATTTCCCTTCTGGAAAATCACTAGGTTCCGAATAAGGCGTCAGGGTTCCAGCCACCATCCCCCGACCCCCCACTTTCAACTCCCCGGGCCCGAGTGCAGCACAGGGTCCACGGTCCCCAGGATCCGCAGACAGGCTGGGCGCGTACCTGGGCGCGGGTTCGATGAGGGTGGTGGTGTCCAAGTAGTGGATCTTGTAGAACTCCAGCAGGGCCGGCAAGTGGTCAAACTCCTGGTCCCCGATCTTGAAGCGCCGGTTGGGTAGCGAGTTGATGATATAGTGGGAGACCCGCGAGTTCTCCGACACCGATAGCACATAGTCCCCGGGGCAGGTGGAGGAGTCGCGGACTAGGAACATGCCGTGGCGCTGACCCTGCAGCCGGGTCTGCGCCTCCTGGCGAGACACCGGCCCCATGTACCAGGCAGAGCGGTCAGAGGAGTCGAACCGGGCGGAGGACATGGTGACGGACGGGGGGTCTCAGCGGCTGCTCTGGAAGCGTTTGCCCGGCAGATGGCTTTAGGACTGAAGGAGGGCCTTCCTGCACACCTCGGGGTGCTCTCACAGAGCTGGGCCAGCACCTTTCTCACGGCGCCAAGCCCGCAGCATCCTCCGCCGCCTCCCGCCTGCTCCGGGGTCGCCTTGCGGAGGGAGCCGGCCCAAGGAATGCGAACAAGAGCCGGGGGCCGAAGCAGGCAATTACTAGTTCTGGCGGAGGCCGCCCTGGGAGTCTCTGGAAGTCCGGCGTACCAGGAGCGCCTCTAACGGTTCCCAGCCTGGAATGACCCAGCAACGCACCCCACGACTGCGCGCCAACGCCGGCCGCGGCGCGAAGCACCGAACTCCAGGATCGTTGCGCCTCCGGGCCGGCTTTGCTTAGGCCGTTCCCAAGAGCCACAGCAACAAAATGGCGGACGCGGGAG